TACGAGTTTCTGGTCGTGGGAAGGTTGAGTGGGTCGCACACTCTTCCCAGCCTCGATACATCATGGTAGGGAGAGAAAGATTTAGATGGGGAGAACCCGAGAGGGAGGCCGTCGACAAGGTGTGGGGTGAGAGGTGAGAGAGGAGAGGGGAGGGAGTGGTAGATGGATGAGGAATGAGTGAGGGAGGAGAGGGGTTGGTGGGTGAGGAAAGAGGGAGAGAGGGTTGAGAAGGTTGAGGAGGTGGCGGTCGTCAAGGTTAAGGTGAGGGGGGGGGGGTCAGAGAGATGCGTAAGTGAGGAATGAAGGAAAGAGGTGTGAGGAGGTGGCTATTGTCAAGGTCCTCCACGACCCTCAGGTAGACAGCAGGTGTGAGGCTCTGAGACACAAGGTCAAGTGGGTAAAGAAAGTGAGAAAAGAAAAAGAAAATGTGAAAAGGGGAGAAACACATGATGAGAGAGAGAAAGAGAAAATGAGAGAAGAAAAGGAGATGAGAAAGGGTAGAAAAATAGAGAGAATAAGGACATAGTACAAAGAATGAGTTTGTTAAAGGATAGTGAGAAGGCAGTTATGATATATGATACATAGAGAAAAAGAGGAAATGAGAGAAAAAGAGGGAATGAAAAAGAAATAGAGAGAGTAAGAAGAGATGGAGAAAACTAAGGAATGGGAGAGTGAGATACAGAACGAGAAAAGGAGAGAAAGATACAGGTACTTCGATATATGTAAATACACAAACAGATATTGGGATAGATAGATAGATAGATAGATAGATAGATAGATAGATAGATAAATAGATAGATAAATAAATAGATAGATAGATAGATAGATAGATAGATAGATAGATAGATAGATAGATAGATAGGTAGAAAAAGAGATAAATAAGAGAGAGATAAAGAGAGAGAGTATGGGAGAGAGAGAGAGAGAGAGAGAGAGAGAGAGAGAGAGAGAGAGAGAGAGAGAGAGAGAGAGAGAGAGAATAAGTTAAAGAGAGAGAGGCATCAGATGTTGCATAGTGTAAGTTGTAGATGTTGCAAAGAATCAATAGCGACTGGGAACACCGCCGCCGAGGTGATAAACGAGGGAATAATGCAAGACAAGAGAAAAAAAAGTGAAAATATAGAATGTGATCAGAATAGAAAAATGGTTAAATAGGATTAGTAAAAGAGAAAGGGAGAGAGAGAGAGAAAGGATATAAAACATAATCAACTAAAATCAAAAGATATCCAACATGAGTACCGTACATAGAATAGAGTCTATATTGATAATAGAGCCTGTGTGTCGGTCAATCAGTCTGTCAGTCAGAATATCAGTCAGTCATGTCAGTCAGTCAGTCACTTAGTCAGTCAGTCAGCGCCGTAGCTCCAAGACCATTAAATGTAGACACCTGAAGCTTTGCATACATACTAAAAGGGCCCTGGGAGTATTAATTTTAAGATTTGTCTGAAGAAAAGAATTAACACTCCGTTGAACACTAATAAGCCACACAGACTGGCGGCCTCGAGATTCCTAACCGGTAACATCGCTGGGTCCATCCATCCCCACCTCCCGAAACATACACACTAGTCAATTATTCTGAGGTCAGCCAAGGTCAGCTTACCCCCGAACACGTTAGTATGGAGAGGTCTTACAAGCAGAAAGAAAATACATTTTTAAAATAGTATAGATATTCCTCGACACACATATTATGGGTCCGTAGCCAATAAATTGAAATTCTGATAATTAATTAAGGATCGCGCTCGTAATCAGGACAATTAATTATAAAAAAATTCAACATTTCGACCACAGATCCTGATTCAGCATGTTGAAGACGAACCTATACAGAAATTTTGAGCAAAAATTTTTTTTTTCGATCCCCCAAAACTTTAATTTGGGGACGAAAAATTACTACTACTACTACTACTACTACTACTACTACTACTACTACTAATAATAATAATAATAATAATAATAATAATAATAATAATAATAATAATAATAATAATGATAATAATAATAATAATAATAATAATAATAACAATAATAATAATAATAATAATAATAATAACAATAATAATAATAATAATAATGATATTAATAATAATGATAATATAATAATAATAATAATAATAATAATAATAATAATAATAATAATAATAATAATAATAATGATATTAATAATAATGATAATATAATAATAATAATAAATAATAATAATAATAATAATAATAATAATAATAATAATAACAATAATAATAATAATAATAATAATAATAATAATAATAATAATAATAATAATAATAATAATAATAATAATAAAAATAATAATAATAATAATAATAATAATAATAATAATAATAATAATAATAATAATAACAATAATAATAATAATAATAAATCAAGTTACAAGATAAAACAGAGATAAGAAAATTATATAAAATAATATGGAGAGGATGAGAAGAAAGAGAAAAGGAGAGGACAATAGCATACACACACAAGCAGCTGCAATACAGCAACTTTATCCCTTTAGCCAATAAGAGGAGAGAGGCACGATGACGTCACGATAGGTCACGTCATGTCACCCTTGGTTGGTTACCTCAAGTGGGAGACAAGTTCAAGTGTCACCTCCTTTGCCTTCACTACGAGTTGAGTGGTCGAGTATCACTTCACACTCTCTCCCTGACGAGAACAATACCACTTGCATGGAGATGTGGTTAACACACACACACACACACACACACACACACACACACACACAATTACTACTTTGCTGTCACTCGGAATCGAGTATGACGATCATCCAGATATGATACAATGATATGAATTATTAGAGATGTCACCTAGGTTAGTGAGTCTTAAGGTGACTAAAGAGGCTGATATTGGACCGGCAGCATCGTTCACATTCGTTGCTTATGTGGAGGGCGCCATCTACTGAGGGAGGGGCGGTGGCAGCATCTTTCCTGCGTTGGCGCTTGTCTGCCTCGGTTTGCAATCGCTCTAAATCGAACACAGGCGTTCGATTTAGCGCAACTGCAAGCGTGCCAAATGCTGGCAGCTCTGCCAACTCTGGCATTGAAGTCGCCAAGGAGCACAACCTTATCTTCTCTGAGGATAGAGGTTAGCACTCTGTCAAGGTCGGCGTAAAGGGCCTCCTTGATATCATCCTCTGCATCCAGTGTTGGGGCGTAAGCACTAATGAAGAAGGCATGACGTGAGTGATTCAGTGGGACTTGAAGCGTCATGAGGCGCTCCTTGATCCCAATAGGTATTTCAGTTAGCCTGTGTAGGATGCGTTGGCGGATGGCAAAATCAACTCCATAAATACGGTTTCTCTCCGCAGTAGGCTTACCCTTACAGAAGAAGGTGTAGCCAGACCCCCATTTTGCGAGTTGGCCCTCATCTGGGAGCCAGGACTCACTAATGTCTGCTATGTCGATGTTATACCTAGTCAGCTCTTTTGCCCTATGGGCAGTTCTTCTTTCAGGATGCACATTTGTGCCAGTATCCAGAAGGTTCCTGACATACCATTCAGCGACCTTAAGAGGTTGTATGGTTTGTTTTTGTTTGTATCTGTAATTTTGGTTGTTTTCATCCGCTTAAGGATGACCTTACTGGGTGCGGTTGCCCAGGCAGGTTTGATTTTTAGGCAGGCTATCTTTAGGGCACCTTTACTTGCCCCCTACCCATATGGGAAGGGCAGAGTTTCTCCCCGAAGGGGCTGCTCAGCCGCACAGACAGGAACGGATTGCACTGCTGCCTAGATCCTATTGCATAAACGACCATCTTATCTGTGCCGCCCTTGTGCAGAGTTGTTACTAGAGACTCCCGGCAGTCATCTCTGCCTGTCCCCGTCGCAACTCGTCCGTCGCCATCGGACTTTTGGGGGTATAGGGGTTTTGATGATAATGAGAGGTATGATGAACTGGATGATGGCTGCACATGAGTTGATTTATGTGGTGAGGCAGGAGCGCAGGCTGCAACCACACATCTTGGCTCTCCCTTTTCCTGATCCAGTGGTGCAAGTGTTGTAACTACTGGGGAGAGGCAGAGTCGCAATGGACTGTCAACAGCCCAGTTTGTTGGGTTTCGCCTTGGTAGCCTGTCATCAGGCATTGCATTCGTCCTCCGGTTTAGTCGTTGGGTTTCCATGGTGGTCACCTCTTCCACCTACACCGCCGTTGGGGTCTTGTTGGAGCTCTGTAAGCATGTCTGCCTGTTGCGGGGCTTCACCGCAGATTTTTCGTTCGGGGTTTACTCCCGTATTCTTATATCTGCCAAGGTTAATCTCGCTGAAAGCGAGAGGGAGCAAGCAGTGCTTGCCCCTTAACACTAACACAATGCTGCCATTCTCGACACATTTCACCACCCTGTGTATGCATGCGTACACATACACACACGCATACACACAGGTACCGAGAACAACACCCTACCAAGTCTTGTACTGGCTTGGCTCAAGAAATCATCCCAGTCTGTAGTTCCTTTATGAAACACCGAACGGCGCGTCAAAATTTGTGTTTTTGTTCCGCAATACATCACCGGGGAATGCAAGAAGGGGAAGGAGAAAACAAGATGAAAAGGCAAGAATATTAAATGAGAAGTTTTAATCTGATGGTTAACGTGGCGTAAAAAGGCAGAGGAATATACCATTAGCAATTTGTGTTTGTCATCTCCACAGAAGAGCTATAATAATAATAATAATAATAATAATAATAATATATATATATATATATATATATATATATATATATAGTACAGTCGTTTGTCTACCCGGTTCATAATTATGTTGTATCCATGGTATTACATGTTTCTCTCTCTTTCAATTGTGACTGAGTTTCTGTCTATCTGTCTGTCTCTGTCAGTCTGTCAGTCTGTTTGTCTGTCTGTTTCCTTCTCTCTCTCTTGGTGAAAACTCTCTGTCGGGTCTCGTTGTACGTAAGTGATCAAAGTTCGTATTCCATTTGCTTGGTAAAAGTCAAAGAATGTTTTAGCCTTTCTCTTGTCCAGCAAACACCTCCCGGCAGGTTTCACTTAAGAGTCTGGTGAAAGTCTTTGATAGCCTCTATTGTATGTTGCTCTTGTGAGGTGGCTGCTCCAACGGGCCTTGAATTTAGTTCTAATTGACCCCAGTCTAATAGACCCCATTCATAAAAGACTCTAGTCTGTAATAGACTTAAGTCAAAACAGAACTTAGTTCTAATAGACCCAAGTCTAAGTAGACCCCATTCATAAAAGACTCTAGTCTGTAATAGACTTAAGTCAAAACAGAACTTAGTTCTAATAGACCCCAGTCATAATAGATTCCAGTCCTAATATACCCCATTCCCAATAGAAACTAGTGTGACCTAACTCTAACATTACTGGGGAAAGGGAAGAGGGGTTGGACCTATCAGGATTGAGGGTGGGGAAGGTGTTTATCTGGGGTAGGGGAACAACTATCCGGACGAGGGGAAGGGGAGTGAGGGCAGGCGCTAGAGAGCATGCTACCACGATTTGGCCCCAACATCTGACCTGCAACCCAATTTTTCCATGGCGTGGGTGGCTCCCGAGGTCACTGCTCTCGTGACATCCTCTCCCCCTCTTCCCCTTACCCATCCTCCCCTTTCCCTTCCCCCTCTCCCTCCCCTGCCCCTTCCCCTTCCTCCTCCTCCTCCTCCTCCTCCTCCTCCAAGCCTTGATGTTGGCTACCGTCCAGAGCTGACCCAGGAACTCAATATGGTATGTGCTGGTCTTAACCCTCAGAAGTCTCTCTCTCTTTGACTCTTTCTCTTTAATATATGAGATAATTCACCTCATTCTGATAAATAATATGTGAAATAAGGAAAATATATATATTTTAATTCCCCGTTACAGATAACTCTAAAACAGTGATATGGGGAAATACTCACTTCTTAAATGCCCTGGTACAAGTCGCTTCGTTAAGCTAAATTATTACGAGAAATGGGGAAAACATTCTCTTAATTATTTCCCTGATATCGCCTGCTTAAAATATAATTCCTTGGTACAGCTCGCTTCACTCTAAGATGTTTCGTGGACTGAATAATGAACTGAGTGAAAGATTGGTTATCTACTCGTCGGCTTCATTCCTAACTACAGCTTATAAACAATACACATCTATGACTCTTGGTGTATTTCCTCAATAACAGTAACTACGATTTAATTGAGCATAGCCAAGCCTTCCTCCCTCCCTCCCCAACACATGCTTTGAGTTGGTACGTCGAAAATGTACTACACGATTCAAGGATAGGATAGGTGGGTGGGTGGCTTGTAGGTGGGATAGAGGGTGAGTGGGATAGAGAGGAAGCGGGATAAAAGGGTGGAGTGACAGTGCGTAGATTAGTGGCTGGAGGAGTGGTGGCAGATGGATGGCAATAGAGAGATGGCGAGTGGTGGTAGGCTGCTGGGCAGGTGGGATGGAGGGAGGGGGTGTGTTAATGGTGGGTGTAGGGAGGGGGTGTGTTAATGGTGGGTGGAGGGTGGGCAGGTGGTTGGATAGGAGGACAATACATTAGCCTCGACGTTGCCAGCTGAAACAATTATCTCCTTGAGAAAAAAACAGAGAGATCTTTTGTGAGATAAAGGAAGATTCAATATCCCTGAGTCGTGAGATAGTGGGAGGTGGAGGAGATGGAGAGAAGAAAGACGAGGTGATGAAGCTGACAGAGAATGGTTACACACAAAAAAAATTAAAACTCAACAAACAAACAAACAGGGAATAAGAGACAGGGATAAAAAGGGAAAGGGACACACAGAGAAACAGAGAGAGACATAGACATAGACTACTATTACTTTGCTGTCACTCGGAATCGAGTATGACGATCATCCAGCTATGATACAATGATATGGGTTATTAGGGATGTCACTTAGGTTAGTGAGTTTTGAGATGACTAAAGAGACCGACCGGGACACACAGCGTCGTTCACATTCGTTGCACATGTGGGTGGCTCCATCTACTGCTGGAGGGGTGGTGGCAGTGTCTTTCCGGCGTTGGCGCTTGTTTACCTTGGTTTGCAGTCTGGCTAACTCGAATGTATTGACACCTTCTCGTGTGGTGCTCCTGCAATCGTTACGATATAGAGTAATCGTCTCCCAGGTGAGGGAGTCAATTTGCTTTCAGGTTTGCCTTAAGACTATCCTTATACCTTTTCAATTGCCCGCCGGCGTTACGTTTGCTATTCGTTAGGTGACTGTAAAATGGCTGCTTTGGCAATCTACTGTCGTCCATGCAGGTAACATGGCCAGTCCAACGTAATTGTTCATGGAGAATGGTAGCCTCAATGCTCCTACAGTTGGTGTCCACAAGAATACTGGCATTTGTTCTCTTTTGTCTTCCCAGCGAACTCGGAGGATGGAACCGTAGACTACGTTGGTGAAAGTTTCAAGTGCAGCAAGGTGCCTCTTGTATGTGACCCACGTCTCACTACCATATAGCAGGGTGGGGAGGACCACTGCTCGATATACGTGAAACTTTGTAAATAATTTCAGCTCCCTACAGCTGAAGACACGATATCGTAGTCTGCAAAAGGCTTGAGATGCACATCTGATCCGATGCTGAATCTCTTCATCGATGTCTGCGGTGGTGGACAGGTGGGAGCCGAGATATCGAAAGTAGGCAACATTAGAGAGGGTAGTACCGTTAAGCTGGATGGATGGTGGTGTGGCTGAACCAGGGGCAGGTTGAAAGAGAATCTGAGCCTTACGTTCATGCACCTCAAGGCCGAAGTGTGCCTACGCGTCTGCGTATGTGTTCAGGATCTCCTGTAGGTCTTCTTCAGTGTGCGCAACAAGGGTGGGGTCGTCTGCATACTGAAGTTCAGTAATGGAAGTTGCTGAACACCTTTGTTCTTGCCTGGAGTCGTCTTATGTTGAAATGACCCCCCTTCACCAAGTACTCGATGTTTACCCCTTTGGCTAAATTGGCACTAGCATGAGTAAGGAAGGCAGCCAAGAAGATGGAAAAGAGAGTTGGTGCCAGTACACACCCTTGTTTAACCCTGTTTGGATGGGAAAGAACTCTGACTGGGTGCCGTTGTACAGGACACTGCCGTTCATTCCATCGTGGAGTTGCCTCACAATGGCGATGAATTTTGGTGAGCAGCCAAAACGTCTGAGGGTCCACCAGTGGGCTTCCCTGTTGACTGAGTCGAAGGACTTGGTTAAGTTGATGAAAGCCATGGACAGGTCATGACGCTGTTCTCTGCACTTTTCCCATCTGGCGGGCAGCAAAGATTATATCATTGGTGCCACGTGATGGTCTAAACTCTAAAACGACATTGACATTCTGGGAGGAAGTTTTTCGCCTTAGGAAGAAGTCTGTTTAGGAGGACTCGGGCTATAATCTAGCCAGAAACGGAGAGCAGCGAGATCCCACGGTAGTTGCCACCGTCTGACCGGTCTCCTTGTTTTACAAATATTGACAATGGAGGTGTCTTTAAGAGCTTGGGGCATTTCCTCCTTTACCCATATATTCTCCACCGTGTTGGTGTATACCCGTGATGGTGTAGACCCGTGTTGGTGTAGACCCGTGATGGTGTAGACCCGTGTTGGTGTAGACCCGTGTTGGAGTAGACCCGTGTTGGGTGTAGACCCGTGTTGGTGTAGACCCGTGTTGGTGTAGACCCGTGTTGGATAGACCCGTGTTGGTGTAGACCCGTGTTGGTGTAGACCTGTTGGAGTAGCCCGTATTGTGTAGCCCGTGTTGGTATAGCCCGTGTTGGAGTAGACCCGTGTTGATGCCATGTTGGTGTAGACCCGTGTTGGTGTAGACCCGTGTTGGTGTAGACCCGTGTTGGTGCAGACCCGTGTTGGTGTAGACCCGTGTTGGAGTAGACCCGTGTTGGTGTAGACCCCGCTGATTTGGGTAAGACCCGTGTTGGTGTAGACCCGTGTTGGTGTAGACCCGTGTTGGTGTAGACCCGTGTTGGAGTAGACCCGTGTTGGATGGGCCGTGTTGGGTGTAGACCCGTGTTGGTGTAGACCCGTGTTGGAGTAAGACCCCGTGTTGGTGTGGAGCCCGTGTTGGTGTAGACCCGTGTTTGCGTAGACCAGTGTTGGAGTAGACTCCTGATGGTGTAGACCCGTGTTGGAGTAGACCCGTGTTGGGTGCAGACCCGTGGTGATAGACCCGTGTTGGGTATGGACCCGTGTTGGGGTAGACCCGTGTTGGTTTTGACCCGTGTTGGTGTAGACCCGTGTTGGGTAGGCCCGTGTGATGTAGACCCGTGTTGGTGTAGACCCGTGTTGGTGTAAGCCCGTGTTCGTATAGCCCGTGTTGGTGTAGACCCGTGTAGATGTAGACCCGTGTTGGCACCCAACCCAACCCAACCCGACCCGTGATGTAGACCCGTGTTGGTGTGGGCCCGTGTTAGGTGTAGACCCGTGTTGGTGTAGACCCGTGTTGGTGTAGACCCGTGTTGGTATGAGCCCGTGTTGATGTAGACCCGTGTTGGTAGTAGACCCGTGTTGGTGTAGACCCGTGTTGATGTGGGCCCGTGTTGGTGTAGACCCGTGTTGAGTGTAGACCCGTGTTGGATGTAGACCCGTGTTGGTGTAGACCCGTGTTGGTGTAGACCCTTGTTGGTGTAGACCCGTGTTGGTGTAGGCCCGTGTTGATGTAGACCCGTGTTGGTGTAGACCCGTGTTGGTGTAGACCCGTGTTGAGGTGTAGCCCGTGTTGGAGTTAGACCCGTGTTGGTGTAGACCCGTGTTGGTGTAGACCCGTGTTGGTGTAGACCCTTGTTGGTGTAAACCCGTGTTGGTGTAGGCCCGTGTTGGGTGTAGACCCGTGTTGATGTGAACCCGTGTTGGTGTAGACCGTGTTGGTGTAGCCCGGTGTAGACCCTTGTTGGTGTGAACCCGTGTTGGTGTAGGCCCGTGTTGATGTAGACCCGTGTTGGTGTAGACCGTGTTGGTGTAGGCCCGTGTTGATGTAGACCCGTGGTGTAGACCCGTGTTGGTGTAGGCCCGTGTTGGTGTAGACCCGTGTTGGTGTAGACCCGTGGTGTAGGCCCGTGTTGGTGTAGACCCGTGTTGGTTTAGCCCGTGTTGGTATAGACCCGTGTTGGGAGTAGACCCGTGTTGGTGTAGACCCGTGTTGGTGTGACCCGTGTTTGGTGTAGACCCGTGTTGGTGGGAGCCGTGTTGGTGTGACCCGTGTTGGTGTAGACCCGTGTGGTGTAGGCCCGTGTTGGTGTAGGCCCGTGTTGGGTGTAGACCCGTGTTGGTGTAGACCCGTGTTGGGCGCAGACCCGTGTTGGTGTAGGCCCGTGTTGGTGTAGACCCCGTGTTGGTGTAGACCCGTGTTGGTGTAGACCCGTGTTGGTGTAGCAAACCGTGTTGGTGTAAGCCCGTGTTGGTGTAGACCCGTGTTGGTGTGAGCCACGTGTTGGTGTAAGCCCGTGTTGGTATAGGCCCGTGTTGGTATGGAAACACGTGTTGGAATGAACCCGTACTTGGTATAAGCCCATGTTGGTATAGACCACGTGTTGAGTGTAAGCCCCGTATTTAGTGTAAACCCCGTGTTGGTGCAAACCCCGTGTTGAGTATGAACCCGTGTTGGTGTAAGCCCGTGTTGATTGAACCACGTGTTGGTGAAGCCCGTGTGGTGTGAGCCGTGTTGGTGTAGGCCGTGTTGAGTGTAGACCCCGTGTTGAACAGACCCGTGTTGAGTGTAAGCCCGTGTTGGGTAAAGACCCCGTGTTGAGTGTAAACCCCGTATTGATGTAAACCCGTATTTGAAGTAGCAAGCCCATGTTGGTAAACCACAAGTATAAACCCCGTGTTAGTACCAAACCCGTGTTGGTAGCAAGCCACATGTTGAGTAACCAACCCATGTTAGTGTAAACTACATGTTAGATGAAACCCCATGTTAGAAAAACCATGTGTAAACCATGTTAGTGTAAAACCCATGTTAGTGTAGAAACCCATGTTAGTATAAACCCATGTGGTAGCAAGCCATGTTAAATGTAACCATGTTGGTATAAAACCCATGTTATGAACACCACGTGATGAAACCCATGTTGGCAAACCGTGTTAGTGTAAACGTGTTGAGTATAAACCCCGTGTTAGGATGAAGCCCGTGTTAGGTGCAGACCCGTGTTGCAGCAAACCCGATGGTACAGGCCCATGTTGGATGAAGCCGTGTTGTAGTGTAGACCCGTGTTGTAGACCCGTGTTGGTATGAGCCGTGTTGAGTAGCAAACCCCACGTGTTGGTGCAGGCCCGTGTTGAGTGTAAACCCGTGTTGGTGAGACACGTGTTGGTGCAGACCACGTTTGATCTGAACCCGTGTTGGTGCAAGCCCCGTGTTGGTGTAGGCCCCCGTGTTGGTGTAGACCCGTGTTGTGAAACCCGTGTTGGCGCAGGCCCGTGTTGGTATGACCCGTGTTGGTGTAAGCCCGTGTTGGTCATGAACCCGTGTTGGTGTGACCGTGTTGGGATGAGCCCGTGTTGAGTGTAGACCCATTGATGCCCAGGCCCCGTGTTAGTGTAGACCCGTGTTGGGTAGCAAGCCCGTGTTGAGTAGCAAACCCGTGTTGGTAGCAAGCCGTGTTGGTAGCAAACCCATGTTGGTGTAACCCGTGTTGGCCTTAGACCCGTGTTGGTATGAAACCCGTATTGAGTAGCAAACCCGTGTTGGTATGACCCGTGTTGAAGTGCCAAACCCGTGTTGGTAGACCCGTATTAAGGCTGTAAACCCGTGTTAGTATAAACCCCACGTGTTAGCTAAAGCCCCGTATTTAGTGTAGACAAATATTGGTATGAACCCCGTGTTGGGTGTAGCCCGTGTTGGTGAAACCCGTGTTGGTGTGAACCCGTGTTAGTAGAAACCCGTGTTGAAACCCGTGTAGAAACCCATGTTAATAAATATAAGAACTTTTAATTTATCATTTATTTATCTCCCTCTTGCATAACCTATTTATTTATCAACATTCTTCCCATTTTCTTGTTTTTTCTCCTGTTCTTCTATTTATCACCATCGTCCGTCTCCTTGTTTATTTTTGTACTTTATTCCTTTATTAAAATGAAAAGAAAAGAAACAAAGAAACTGTAGAACATTCAGTTAATTTAATACAGGATCTTCCGCATCTCTCTGGAAAAAATAACTATTTTTTCCTCAGAAAACTAAACTTCTCTGGTTTTCTCGTTGTCTCTCTAGGAAAACAAAACAAAACAAAGGAACACCTACCAAAGTCATTAAGTAAGTCTAGTTATTTCCTTCATTCTGGGAACATAAGAATAATTTCTTATTTGAGGTATTTACGAATTTCCTCCTCCTTCTCGTTCATCCTGCATTTGAAAATAAGACAATTCCTACTTGAGTCTCTGCTGGAGAAAAAAATTACCCTGTTTTTTTCTTTGTTACTCGAGAATTTACTACCCAAGTTATTACACTAACTCTCTCTCTCTCTCTCCCCCCTCTCTCTCTCTCTCTCTCTCCTCTCTCTCTCTCTCTCTCATATTATGCTCATTGATATACTGACCATAGAAGGGCTTTATACACTACACCATGAGTGTGTGTCTGTCTATCTGTCTGTCTGCTGTCTAGCAGGTGTTCACATAGCCTTATACACACACACACACACACACACACACACACACACACACACACACACACACAGGACTGACAATATCAGCACAATGTGATGTTCAGGGTCACTCACTCAAATATTGGTCATTAATCATCACAGACGTCTCTCTTGTCATAACATCATCCTCTGCCTCTACCGCCCTCTGACCATCTACCTCCCTTGACCATCCCCTCTATCTACTTCCTCTGACCATCTACCTCCCCTTGACCATCTACCCCCCTACCCTCCTACTTCCCTCTGACCCATCTACCTCCCTTGACCATCTACCCCTCTACCATCTACTTCCTCTGACCATCACCTTCCTTGACCATCTACCTCTCCATCTACTTCCTCTGACCATCTACCTTCCCTTGACCATCACCCTCTACCATCTACTTCCCTCTAACCATCTACCTCCCCTTGACCATCTACCCTCTACCATCTCTACTTCCCTCAGACCATCTACCTCCCCTTGACCATCTACCCCTCTACCATCTACTTCCCTCCCTGACCATCTACCTCCCCTTGACCATCTACCCCCTACCCTCTACCCTCTGACCATCTACCTTCCCTTGACCATCTACCCCCTCTATCTACTTCCCTCTGCTATCTACCTCCCCTTGACCATCTCCCCTCTACCATCTACGTCCCTCTGACCATCTACCTCCCCATGACCATCTACCCCTCTACCATCTACCCCTCTAACCATCTACCTCCCCCTTGACCATCTACCCCCTACCCTCTACTTCCCTCTAACCATCTACCTCCCTTGACCATCTACCCTCTACCATCTCTTCCCTCTGACCATCTACCTTCCCTTGACCATATCCCCTCTACCATCTACTTCCCTCTGACCCATCTACCTTCTCTTGACCATCTACCTCTACCCTCTACTTCCCTCTGACCATCTACCTTCCCTTGACCATCTACCCCCTCTGCATCTACTTCCCTCTGACCATCTACCTCCCTTGACCATATACCCCTCTATCCTACTTCCCTCCGACCATCTACCTCCCTTGACCATCTACCCCTCTACCATCTACTTCCCTCTGACCATCTCTTCCCCTTGACCTCTACCCCTCTACCATCTGCTTCCCTCTGACCATCTACCTCCCTTGACCACCTCCCCTCTACCATCTACTTCCCTCTGACCATCTACCTCCCTTGACATCTACCCCCTCTACCATCTACTTCCCTCTGACCATCTACTTCCCCCATGACCATCTACCCCTCTACCATCTACTTCCCTCTGACCATCTACCTCCCCTTGACCATCTACCCCTCTACCTCTACTTCCCTCTGACCATCTACCTTCCCTTGACCATCTACCCCTCTACCATCTACTTCCCTCTGACCATCTACTTCCTTGACCATCTACCCCTCTACATCTACTTCCCTCTGACCATCTACCTCCCCTTGACCATCTACCCCCCCTACCCTCTACTTCCCTCTGACCATCTACCTTTCTTGACCATCTACCCCTCTGCATTCTACTTCCCTCTGACCATCTACCTCCCCTTGACCATCTACCCCTCTATCTACTTCCCTCTGACCATCTACCTCCCTTGACCATCTACCCCTCTACCCTCTGCTTCCCTCTGACCATCTACCTTCCCTTGACCATCTACCCCTCTACCATCTACTTCCCTCTGACCATCTACTTCCCCTTGACCATCCCCTCTACCCATCTACTTCCCTCTGACCATCCTCCCCTTGACATACCCCTCTACCTTCTACTTCTCTCTGACCATCCTACTCCCCTTGACCATCTACCCCTCTACCATCTACTTCCCTCTGACCATCTACTTCCCCTTGACCATCTACCCCTCTACCATCTACTTCCCTCTGACCATCTACCTCCCCTTGACCATCTACCCTCTACCCTCTACTTCCCTCTGACCATCTACACTCCCTTCGACCATCTACCCCCTCTACCATCTACTTCCCTCTGACCATCTACCTCCTCGACCATCTACCCCCTCTCCCTCTACTTCCCTCTGACCATCTACCTCCTTTGACCATCTACCCCTCTACCATCTACTTCCCTCGACCATCTACCTCCCTTGACCATCACCTCTACCTCTACTTCCTCTGACCATCTACCTCCCTTGACCATCTACCCCTCTACCATCTCTTCCCTCTGCCATCTACTCCCCTTCATCCCCCCTCTACATCTCTTCCCTCTGACCATCTACTCCCTTGACCATCTACCCCCCTCTACATCTCTTCCCTCTGACTCTACCTCCCTTAACCATCTACCCCCTCTACCCTCCTACTTCCCTCTGACCATCTACCTCCCCTTGACCATCTCCCCCTCTACATCTACTTCCCTCTGACCATCTACTTCCCCTTGACCATCTACCCCTCTACCATCTACTTCCCTCTGACCATCTACCTCCCCTTGACCATCTACCCCTCCACCATCTACTTCCTCTGACCATCTACTTCCCTTGACCATCTACCCCTCTATCTACTTCCCTCGACCATCTACCTCCTTGACCATCTACCCCTACCACTCTACTTCCCTCGACCACCTACCTCCCTTGACCATATGCCTCTACCATCTACTTCCTCTGACCACCTACCTCCCTTGACCATCTACCCCTCTACCCTCTACTTCCCTCTGACCATCTACCTCCTTTGACCATCTACCCCTCTACCATCTACTTCCCTCTGACCTACCTCCCCTTGACCATATACCCCTCTACCTCTACTTCCCTCTGACCATCTACCTCCCTTGACCATCTACCCCCTCTACCCTCTACTTCCCTCTGACCATCTACCTCCCTTGACCATCTACCCCCCCATCTACCTCCCTTTGACCATCTACCTTTTCTTGACCATCTCCCCTCTACCATCCTTCCCTCTGACCATCTACTTCCCTTGACCATCCCCTCTACCATCCTTCCCTCTGACCATCTACCTCCCCTTGACCATCTACCCCCTCTACCCTCTACTTCCCTCTGACCATCTACCTTCCCTTGACCATCTACCCCTCTACCATCTACTTCCCTCTGACCATCTACTTCCCTTGACCATCTACCCCTACCATCTACTTCCTCTGACCATCTACCTCCCTTGACCATATACCCCCTCTACCTTCTACTTCTCTCTGACCATCTACCTCCCCTTGACCATCTACCCCCTCTCCATCTACTTCCCTCTGACCATCTACTTCCCTTGACCATCTCCCCCTCTACCATCTACTTCCCTCTGACCATCTACCTCCCCTTGACCATCTACCCCTCTACCCTCTACTTCCCTCTGACCACCTACCTCCCCTTGACCATATACCCCCTCTACCATCTACTTCCCTCTGACCACCTACCTCCCCTTGACCATCTACCCCCTCTACCTCTACTTCCCTCTGACCATCTACCTCCCCTTTGACCATCCCCCTCTACCATCTACTTCCCTCTGACCATCTACCTCCCTTGACCATCTACCCCCTCTACCCTCTACTTCCCTCACCATCTACCTCCCCTTGACCATCTACCCCTCTACCATCTCCTCCCTCTGACCATCTACTTCCCTTGACCATCTACCCCCTCTACCATCTACTTCCCTCTGGCCATCTACCTCCCTTGACCATCTACCCCTCTACCCTCTACTCCCTCTGACCATCTACCTCCCTTGACCATCTACCCCTCTACCATCTACTTCCTCTGACCATCTACTTCCCCTTGACCATCTACCCCTCTACCATCTACTTCCCTCTGACCATCTACCTCCCCTTGACCATCTACCCCCTCTACCATCTACTTCCCTCTGACCATCTACTTCCCCTTGACCATCTACCCCTCTACCATCTACTTCCTCTGACCATCTACCTCCCCTTGACCATCTACCCCCTCTACCCTCTCTTCCCTCTGACCACCTACCTCCCTTGACCATATACCCCCTCTACCATCTACTTCCCTCTGACCACCTACCTCCCCTTGACCATCTACCCCTCTACCCTCTACTTCCCTCTGACCATCTACCTCCCTTTGACCATCTACCCCCTCTCATCTACTTCCCTCTGACCACCTACCTCCCTTGACCATACCCCTCTACCCTCTACTTCCCTCTGACCACCTACCTCCCTTGACCATCTACCCCTCTCCCTCTACTTCCTCGACCATCTACCTCCTTTGACCATCTACCCCCTACCATCTACTTCCCTCTGACCACCTACCTCCCTTGACCATATACCCCTCTACCTCTACTCCCTCTGACCACCTACCTCCCTTGACCATCTCCTTACCCCTCTACTTCCCTCTGACCATCTACCTCCCTTTGACCATCTACCCCCCCCTACCATCTACTTCTCCCTACCATCTGTTTTCATCTACCATATCTTTAGTAATATGATGTCATTTTTTACTTATGTGACGTCCTATTTTTACTAGCATGACGTCATATGTCGACTTATATAACGCCATTTCCTTGGTACCATTATGACAGTTATCAACTTCTTTATCGGTATATGCGTTACTTATTTGTTTATATATATTGTCACTACTTAAGTTTTTTTTTCAATTTTATGATAAATAGGACTTCGGTACTTACAGTACATCAGATAGATCTAGGAAATTCACATCAGGATTATACTTATAATTTTAATGATGTTTTTAGTTGTTGGTACAATTAATGACATGCATTATTTTTACTTACAGAGAAACTTCATAAATGCTCTCATAATTCGCTATGTTATTCCACCAGTTCTAAGAGTCACCCAAAAGCCGTTAGCTCTTGTATACAGCTATGGTTAAAGTCAGATAGACTTTTGATGGTTAAAGTCAACTCGGTCTACGATGGTTAAAGTCAGATAGGAGTATGGAGGTTAAAGTCACATAGGCCTATGATAATTTAAGTTCAGATAGCAATGTATATAGAAGTTTGTTAATAGGCCGAGTGAAGTTACTGTATATTGTTGGTAGGATTATGAGAAATATTATGTTGATAGATATATGGCAGTTATGTTGGAGAGATTGATAGGAAACGTTGTTGATAGGCTTATGGAATATATGTTATTGGTAGGCCTATAGAAGTAATATTAAGTGGATTGTGAAATTTTACGATGATAAACCTATGGAGTTTACATAGGAGCCTTAGGGTTGATTTATATTTTAGAATTATGCAAGCTAGGCCAGATACCTGCATAGAAGTTAGTTATATCGATAGGTCTATGGAAGTTATGTTAATAGGCTTATGACAGAGAGAGAGAAAGA